GTAAAATGTTATTGCTTAATCAAACTGTTCAATATTTTTGTCATCCCTTACATTTCATTCCTCTCTTCCGCTGCCAGGCACTTTACATTTTGACTTATGCATTACGTCCTACAGTCTGTTGGAAAAGCTACATTCCTCTATCCAGCCTCGGTGCCAGCCTTTGTGCATAATGTAGTTTCCCCATTCTTAACTCCTCTCTACAACAGTGATAATATAAGGTGTGAGCATGTAAGGGGGAAGTATTATCTTACCTGCACTACTGGTGTCTAACATCTTGATTTGTTTAAAGTTAGAAAACAAACAATGACGTCCTTGGTTACATTTTCAAGACAAAAAAATTCAACAAAAAAAGAGAATAGGGTACCATTAAACTAATATTCATGAATGTCCCCTTTATAGGTTGACAATGCAACAGAACAGTATTTCTGATTCATGATACACCTCATTGACCTTGTTCAGAATGTCACCTATGAAGACATACACGTTATGTCTATATGTTCTATAAATTAGCTAGATGACAGATGGGGTTAGGTTAAGGACATATTGATGTAATTGCAGGTCAAAAGGAGAACGGTGCAAAGCATCATGGTTGAAATACGATGGGAGTGAGCACCTGTCCAACTCAATACAGATGATAACTTTAATCCACCAATTAGTTGTCCACCGATCCAAACCATAAAGCAAAGAATAGAAAACATCTAATATTCTGTTTTAGCTTTTATTGCTTTTTTTTAAATCACTTGAACGTGGAATGGTTGACATTTTCCTGGAGGCTAAAAAGACGTCATAGCAGCGATATTATTCCAGTATTTTGCATTGTGACTTTTATTAGATATCTCTGTTGAACCTTTGCATTTAATAACCACTATAAAATGATGGTAATTATTCGTGCAAGTTAAAAGCTGCTTCAAGGGGAAGGGTGGAGGGCAGTTCGGTCAATCATGATGAACCCTCTGGGTCACAAAAAGAGGTCATTCATTATTCAAAAGCCCCTTTTAAAAGACATATGTGTTTGAATTAATCCACAAGGGAAATAAACTGCTATTAAACAGCACTGTTTATATGGACTGACCTCCATTATATTCCTATGAGATAACCACATCCATTCATCCTTCTGCAGCGTAGAAAACATCAAGATCCTCACTGTCTTCATTAAATTCATTTAATTGAGTATCTTTTGACTAAAACATTAGAAGGAAAAATACTGAAATGATCAATTAAAACCCAGAATAAATCAGCAAATTAGCAGAATTTTAGCAGCCACTGTGGTGAGATATTCATTAGAGTTTGAGGAAAAACAGCATGTCTCAACCTTGACCCATCCCACCACCATCAACCCCCTCCTCAAACGCCACCAGACGCTCACTGAGTCCCCAAAAGATGCTAAAAGATAAAAGAGAATCGACCCGTCAGCCGTATGTACAGAGACCGGAGATCTGAAAGGAGAAAAGCCATGAAATATGGATGAGAGAAGAAATCCACTTCACCTCCCCCCTGGAGGCTGGCAAACCCCCCACAGCGCTCCCACTCATAATCCCTTCTCCTCCTGCGTGCGTGCACACACACACACACACACACACACACACACACACACACACACACACACACACACACACACACACACACACACACACACACACACACACACACACACACACACACACACACACACACACACACACACACACACACACACACACACACACACACACACACACACACACACACACCTCTCTCTCTGTGCCTCACACACATGTAGGCAAACAGGAAGACAAGGTAGGCACACACCCCCCGAGGCCCTTTGGTGGGTATTAGTATTCAGTGATACTATAGTTTGGCGCTATGTTGGATTCATATCAGCGTTTTATGATAGAATCACAGCTTCTAACAATTGTTTAAAATCATATCTTCAATCTTTTGTTGTTATTTTCCATATTTTCTATTGCTTTTTAGGCTTTTTGTAGTTTCATTTTAAATGCAAAATGTAGGGAGGTTCCTCTGGTGAGTCTCTGAGGCTTAGGGAGAAGCTTAGCCAATTTCATTAGTCACGGTTTCAATGCTGAGGCTCATATTAGTGAATGATTAAGGTCTAAATGCTTTCACAGAGGCATTTCCACCTTAACACGAAAACGGTTATGGCATAGGCACTGATTGTTTTTAACTATTTGACCATGAACAATAAAAATATACTTTAAATATAGTTCAGCACAAAATATTAGTTAGAACGCGGCCTATATTTACAGCTTAGTCTAAGCCAGCATGTCACTGAGGCTACACTCAGTGCTAAATGCTAACAGGCTCATGGACAATGCTAACATGCTAGCAGGTGTAATGCTTAATGTTCACCAGCTTAGTGTAGTGTGTTTGCAAGCTAACATTTGAATGTTATCTAATGTTACATATTTCCATAAAATATGTTAATCCTATTGAAACCATGAGTATATCTATGTATTTGAGTCAAAACCAGAAACACTAAATTGCTAATGGTGCTAGATAAGGAAGGTTACTTAAGTTGGTTGGACGTATCCTTATAGGAAACACTCATGTTTGTACACATTTCTTAGCTATCCATCCAGTAGTTGTTGAAACATTTCATGATCTGACTGACCAACATTACCATCTCTACAGCCACCCCATATAGCATAGCTTAAAAAAACCCAACTTGTTAGACACTTAAAGACACACACACTGCTCCTTCACCACCCGAGGCCCTTTACTAGGTGTGATCCAACTTAAGGCACTCACATGTACTTGTGACAGCGTGTGAAATGTTCCAGTCAAAGCGGCTGCAGCGGCTCGGGCTATCGGCTGCCTCCTTTAAGGCCTATCTGCTGGGCTGGCAGTCGCCTGATGAGAAGGAGACAGAGACATGGAGGGCAGGAGAGGGGGGGGTGCTGTCACACACACTGTGATTGGCAGCTTCTCTCTCTTGCTTGTCTTGTGAGAAACTAAGTGAGGGGATTTTAGTGGTGGCATGTTGCATGTCACTGACACCTGAGTGGTGACATTAAAGAGAAAATCCAGTTTTTGGACAGACTTGGACTTACTGTCACCAGCCGGAGTTTTACGGGCCTCTCATAACAACTCTTCATCATCATATTGAAAGGTTTATTTATAGAGACAAAACTGATAAACAACAGGTCACAGGAGTTTATGGGGTCAGTGAGCACATGTTAGTCCTTTGGAAGAGTCAGGCTTCTGCTAATCAGAATCAGAATCAGGTTTATTGCCAGGTAGGTTCGCACATACTAGGAATTTGACTTGATGTCATGGTGCCTACATAAAATATAAAAAACAAGAAATCTAATATAAAACACAAAATCTTTTACAGCGTAATAAAATAAAATACAGTTAAATAGCAATACAAATTAAATAAAGCAGTAATTGACATGGAAATAGAATGCTATGAATGCATTTTAGAATATAAACTATGAAATGTGAAATAAGAATATGTGCATCTAGGAGTATGAACATTGTGTGCATTAATGTAATGCATATAGTCTATGATGTGGCAGAGGTAAAGTGTCAGCGGGGGGGCCGGGCAATTAAGGAAGCAATACAAATGTCTGCAGATTAACTTTAGATACAAGGAGGATAATGCACTTTCAAATATGAGTCCTAGTCCACCTATATACAAAGTTATGGCACCTATTTCTAATTTGGCACTTTAAGGGTTTAAAATGTGAAGACCAAGAGAGTAACGGGCCAGGTAAAGGAGGCAGAAAATAAAGTTTGTATACGTTTAAGACACATTTAACATCTGTGAAAAAGAATCTGATCACTTGACCACAATGCAGGCTATAGAAATATTTAAAACTAGGACAAGCATGTGCAGAAATGATTACATCTGTGTGTATAGGAGGAAGAAGGGCATATGTATGGTGTATGATCTGCATTGTGCATTTGCAATATGATGCAGCAGCAGATGGTAGCAGGATAAAAGAAGCATTTCATTTAAAGAAAGGACAAAACACACACTATATTTGTTGTTGCATTTGCTGCCTATCAAGATGCATTCAATATCCAAGAAATTCCAATTGTAAGACATCCTTGCATATCCAATCTTTGTGTGTCTATTTGTCTAATGTTTGACAGTAGAGGGCGCTCTAAACTGCTGCAATGTGTGGGGTTGAATTGAGGAGAAGCTCCGAGTCTCGTTACTGGAGGAGTGATGTGTTTTAGGTGCAGTTTGACTTTCAGCAGCCATGAATACTGCAGAAACAGATGGGTGCACTGCAAACATGTTTTTGGCAAGAGGGTTGAATAAATTGATATTAATCTCTCGAATCAAAGAAAATTATGCATTAGTCTAACGTAAATGTTGTTTATGGAGCATTATTATGATTAAATACAATTAGATCAAGTGGAAAAACCCATTTGGATGCAAGGTTTAAAATAAAAAAACACACTAAGAGGCCTTCAGAATCAATGTTCCGTGTAAACTGTTAATTTAATGTTAGCTGTAATCAAATTATCATAATCAAATCACGTGTCAGTCACCAGATTTCAGTCCACATTGACCTAAAACATTCAGTCTTATGTGGGGCTTCTATGAAAGTTTGGTAATAAATTATACTCTAAATAATTGTGTGAAAATGAAGCCTGATATTTTTTTTTATAAAAGCACATTTTTTATTGTCTGGTCTCTTCATTAAATTCAAGATGAGTTCCTAATTTGAAATAATAGCCCTGCTCATCATAATATATTTTCGGGTGCTTTTAATTAAAGTCGACCCCTGCTTTGTTCGCATGCTGTAATGCGGTTTGTCCAAATGAAGCTCAATACAAACCCAGCATAATTCAAGTTTTGGGGAGGAGAAGGAGGAGGAGGAGGTGGATGAGGAGGGTTGGTGGGGGTTATTATACTATTGTCCGCCCCTTAATCCGGTTGGCTCAGAGACTGCCCGCAGGCCAATTTGTAAGTGGTTTGTGGAGCTGCCAATCAAAGCAGACATCCTCTCCTCAGGCTGTGGCTACGAAACCTCTCAGTTGCTGTGTGGAGAGATTTGACGGTGGGACACTCCTGTACATGGACCATCACTGCAATCCGCCTGCGAGCACACACACGCATGTAATGCCTCGGTGAAATTTGGACGTACACGGTGGAGAAAACACGCATGTGAATATTTTATTTTTGCATGTCAGGAGAGGAGGAACTAGTCGCCGGGTCCGCGGCTGTTTGTCTTTTCTTATCGCTTCTCCCCCCCTATGTCACTCTAATTAATCGGAGGCATGTGGAATCGCACAAGGATTAGGAATTGCTTCCCAATAGTGTGCCTGCTGTTGACGTTATGGACGGAGGTAAGGAGGCTCTTGTTTTAATTCAAAATATTTGTCTTCTGCCCCCTCACAAATAAAAATATTTTTAAAATTACAAATGTCAAAAGTTGGTGGGCGTGGGCAGATGTATTTGCTCTCCGGCGTTGCATATTCGCATCACATTAATCGATAATTGAATTACGTAGCAGTCAGTTGTGCAGCATGTGATCATGTTACCATGACAAGATTGAACTCTGAGGAATTGATACAGGCTCCTCTCCATTTTGGTTTATATTCCTAAGAGACCTGTGCGTTTATTTGTTCTTTTTTTTTTTAGGAGAATTAGGCCTGAACCAATAAGTTGTAAGTTGCATTTGCATTTACAGTTTCATTGCAATTGGCTGCTGCAGCGGTTAATTTTCCCCCGTCAGAGTAACGTGATTGTCTAAATCCCCAGCATGCAAACTGTAGGCTGTTCACGTGCTCCCTTCATGATGCAACACATTATTTTGGAATATTAAACCCAATTTGGTTTAACGACTTTAATTTCCCAGTCAGGCACTTGTTTGGCCACTTGTCCCAATTTTACGCACCAATTTGAGCGATTCATGCCGTGTAGCATGCGAATATATAGGCCTATATTTAAATGTGGTCTTTTTAAAAATGTTGTTTCTAGGTGTCCCAGTCAACCGGCTATTTCGAGCTGCAGCTGATCTCCGTGGAGAATGTAAACGGCGAGTTGGCGGACGGGGAGTGCTGCGACGGCTCCAGGAGCTCCATGGACCTGCGCTGCACCCAAGACGAGTGCGACACTTACTTCAAAATCTGCCTGAAGGAGTACCAGATGGAGGTCACCACCACCGGCCTGTGCACGTTCGGAGCTGGAACTACGCAAGTTCTCGGTGGAAATATGTTTTCTTTTAAGGGAGCGAAGAATAATCCGAATAAGATCGACGAAGGAGGCAAGATTTTGATCCCTTTCCAGTTCGCCTGGCCGGTGAGTTCGGTTTTCTTGCTGCAATTAAGTGTTTCTTTGAGATGTTCCTGTCTTCACCGTTTAAAACGTGGGCAATTTAGTGTTTAGTTTATTTGTTGTATATGTTTGTACACAAGCCTTGTGGACGTCAAACATAAGACGTTGTTTTTAAAGTGTGCTATATAAATCAAATATATTATTATTATTATTATAATAATATTATTAAACAATCATGTTAAAATGGATTGGAGCCACTCTGCCATTCAGAATTCATTTATTTGATCACAGCAGCACCCATATCAAGTTCCCATTCAGAGTTTGTTTCCTGTCATTGCAAACTAGGGTACATTCATTATTTGGTCTATAAAATATCAGAAACAGTGAGAAATACCCATCACAATCTTCTTTTGTTAGACGAGCAGTCCAAAACCCTCACAATAATTACATTTAATATCATGTTAAACCAAGAAAAGTAGTAAATTCTGACATTTCATAACCTGCAACCATTGAATTTAAGACTGTTCTTAAAAGGTGACTTATTGATTAGTCGACCAGTCCTTTCATCTGTAATTTCAACCATCTTCTAGTGCAGAACACTCTATAGCTCTTCAGTGGGAGGCTTCACAGAAAGATCCTGTTAAAAGTGACACATTTATCCAAATAACTACAGCTTAATGTATCACATTGACCAATAATCCTTACTGATTTTGTACCCATTGATTCACATGTGTATGAGAATGAAAGACAGACCATATTGAGTGTCATTTGCAGCATCCTGTTCTTATGAGAATTGACACACATCACAGTTAAACGGGGGCATGCTTCTGGAGGATCCTATTGCAGCTACAGTGGTTCACAGTGTCATCTGGGTCATCTTTTAAAGTTGCCCTGATATATGAGGGTTGGCTTTGTTCCAATCCACCGGCTTGCACCTGCCAAGCCCATGATAGGGTAATTAGACTGGGGGAAATGCTTTGATATGTAGACCCTGGAGGGGGACCTCTCTTACATGGAGAAACGGTCATGGCAAAGCTGCCTCCAGACATTTGACATTTTGCTGATTGACGAGGGTGCTTCAATCTTATCATCTGGCAATCCATCAAGCGGAATTTGATTTATTAGGACTTTTCGGGTGGATCCACATGGTCAATCCTGCGATTTTTGTATGATGATTGTGGGAAACCTCAGGGAAAGTAGAAGTTGATTTAAGGTATAATTGGTTTTGTGTTTAGACTTCCATAATATATCTAACTTTTACTTTAAAGCAAAGGCTACATAAACTATGGAATCACCCCTGGAGTCAGGTGTGACGCAGTATTGTACTGTGTTTGCAGGTGCAGCTCGGTTGTATGTAATGGATGGATGCCCCAATTAATTCCCTATTATTATAATGATGAATGAGTGTGAATTATTTTTCAATGCCTCTGGGCAGTGGTTTGGTGCTTTCTGCTGGATGGTTTTGACACCTCTCGTCCCCCCTCTGCACCCCACAGCTTCCTCTCCTGCTGTGGGTGCCAGGTGGCCCCTGGTGGCCCCTCCAGGGCAATTAAGCTGCACTGACTGCAGATGAGTGATAGTTGATGGATTAGGAACACGACTATGGTGTGCTTCTGATGTCCCAGAGCGCTGAACACACCTTTAGCTGTTTGGTTAAGAGGGAAGCACTTTTTATCACCTAGTTCTTGATACCATCGAGTTTGAGGGGAAATATTGTTGATTGTTTTGGACAATGTGACGCTATAAAGTAGTGCTTTTAGGAATAAAGCTATTGTTGTGTTGCTTCCTGTTTTTGTTCAGGTTTATAATGCAATGGAGGTCAAAGGAACTAGACTGTAATGGGAATAAAACACCAGACTTGTTCTGTTTTTTATTTGGAAGTAGAGATGAATAGTCCTTTTGATGATGGATAGTCAAATTTAATGCAACTATTTTGACGATTAATTGGTTATTTTAAGGCAAAATAGGCTATAATTGACTTGTTTCGGCTATTTTGATGTATTTCTTATGTTATTTATTATTGGTAACATCCCGGTTAGCTTTAGGAAATGTTGGTTATTGACAATGTTTCATCAATTATTAGCAGAATAACTAATGGTAAAATAGTGCTTTCTTCAGCGCTATCTTAGATTGTTTAATACCAAAAAAGTGAATATTTTCTGTTGACTGTGTCTTCTGTGATATGGACTGAATATCTCTTGGGTATTTCATGATAGGTTACCAATTAACCAATTAATTAATCTAAAAAACACATCATCGGTTGCATGCAGCCCTTTTTTAAAAGAGAAATCCCTTACACTTGATTTCCATAATTGGTAGTTCCAAATAATCAGCAGCACTTTACTGTTCTCCTGACAGCTCGGCTGGTTTTTGTCGTCTTTTGTGTTGAAGGCATCACACGTTTGATCCAGGGTTGTTCTTTGTGTATTTAATGATTTCAGGGTTTCCCGCAGCTGTTTATAGCAGAGGCGGTCCCCCTTTTAGTGAATTAACAGCCGCCTTTGTTAACGTTTTTAAGCTTCAGGGGAAAATGGCAAAGGTGTGATTTCACACAGTAAAAGCCATATACTTAATAGACCATCAGGAGGGAAGGTGGATTATGGGCGGCATTTACCCCCAAGGCTAAGCAAGGTGCCACAGCTATATGTTAATATATCTTACATGCCTGCATCACACAGAACACGAAGCAGTGCGATTCCTTTATTGGACTCATTGACTGACACCTGGAGGCAGAGGTGAAGAGGGCTATTCTGGTGTGTTGTCTTTCTGTTAAGTGGCCCTGGCTGATAACGTGCACTATTCCAGTGCCAGATGTCACAGCAACTCTGCAGGGTCACTTGCTCTGGCGTTGTCGCTCTTCTGACTGTAGAAACAAAGATGTAGTGTGCTATTGGCTGTGTCATCGGGACAAATGCCAACTTCAAGCCCCGATGGGAACCAATGAGGGGTGGACTCTGCTGTCACCCTGAGATCTAGCAAATGAAATATGAAAAAGGCAGGTTTCTTCAAACTGTTGGCTCCAAATTCAGATATATTACATATTTTATAACTCCTTAAAATCTGTGTGGATAGAATCAAGTTGCATGGTTTGAATATCTTTCTTACAAATCAGTACATTTCAAATGGACGTTTATATTCTGAGTTGTGACGATACCCCTTTTGATGCTCTTAATTGTCTAAATAGGCACTTTTAAAATTATCAAAGAGCCCTTTTTATCTTTCAGTGGAGTCTCATGCAACACAGTGAAAATCATCCTGTATCTCTAGGAAATGTTCCTTCTTCCTCTTTTAACGCATGGAGACATAATAGGCTCTTGTCTTATTGGCCAACTTATCACCACACCATTGTGATGCAGTCGCTAATGGCAGATTTTACTCGGATTGCACGATGCTTATCTATTCCTTGGAAGTCTTCCAGTGAATCTCCAGCTCTGGCTCGTCCTGCCAGCATGCCAGTAAAGAGACTGACTATTGATGCTGCTGCCACCTCTGAGCTCATCCTACACTCAGTGGTTCCCCACAGGCTTGCATTTACAGTAAATGCACATTGCTTCTCCTTTCTCTTCTGATTTTTTTTATATAGGTATCATTGATAATATAAGCAAAAGTTTTGAAGCTGAGGACGTTTTATAGGAAAGAATCATGTCATGTGGCAATTCTATAGACTTAAAATAATGTAATTTAACTTTTAGAGTTTTTTTATGAAGTTTGTATAGCAAAACTTGCATTTTTAAGTAGCTTACAGATCAGAAGGAGAATATAGTTAGCCTAGCCTAGCAGTGATGCTAAACATTGACACAGTGGTGCTTTTAGCTAAATGCTAACATGCTCACAAAGACATTGCTGACATAATGACGTTTAGCATGTGCATCTTGCTGTAGCATGTTAGCATGCTAATTTTACACTACAGCTGAGGCTGAGAAGCCCATAAGCACCTTTTTCTAAGCTCCCAAATAAAAATGTATGTGCTTGTTTGCTCTCTCTCCACATAAATATAAAAATAATAATTTGTGGTTTTGAAATTTTGCTGAGTAATGAAACTTGCACTTGTTGCCTGGCAACATTGCTGTGACAACATGACTCCTGGCAGTTGCTGCGCCTGGCTTTTCATTTCCTAAAACCACAAATAGTTTTTAGAATAAACAGACAAAGTATAATGTGTTTATCGAGTTTTATAGTTGTATTTTTTGACTTTATAAAACCATGCTAGCTGTTTCCCCTCCATTTCCTGTCTTTATGCTAAGCTAGGATAATCACTTCCTGTGTCCAGCTCTGCAGTTTATGTACACAAAACTATAGCCTACCAATATTAATATGACATGTAAAGTGTATTTCCTAAAATATTTAAGCTTTTATTTTATGAGTCAGCACTGTAGCATGTTGATCATCCTCTAGCTCTTTGGCCTCTCTGATTGAGTTTCCATGTTGATGACCCATGCTGTGAGAGCACTTCAGGAGAGAGATGGAGGGAGAGAGACACCACGTCTTACTTCCATTTGATCACTAATGAAATTGCCGGTGGAATTTCTTTGCCTCTCTCTCCCCCTCCCTGCCCCCCAGCTACATTAGCCGGACGTCCGTTTGAGCCGTCCTGTAACTGTATCTGCTCTGAACCTAGATGTGTATCAGACCTCCCTCGGCTAGTAAATCGATGCATGTAGCTGACCTGCAACCTCATTAAGAAGCTAGGGCAGTTCTGAATTAAGTGTTGAAGTGTTATTTCAAATAGACAGTCAAGACCATTTTTAAACTTCTGTAAAAACGACACCCAGCCTCTTGAGAGTGTCTGTGATGAACAGATGAAGTATGTGTACCGAGTTGCTTTGTTTGGTCTGTTGCTCGTGCACTCCCTTGTGTGGCGTGCTGTCAGTCTCAAGAGGCTGATCATTTCTAAAAAAAAGTGGGAGGTATAGACAATCTCATTCGCATTTTAACAACGGGTTGATCTGCACAGACCTGCTAAGATTGTTTTTCTTGGAACAAACCCAAAGTATTTGCATGTTCTTGGCTTGCTGCTCGGCCCA